ATCTGGCCGTAGGTGATGTTAGTCCGCCAAATGGGTCTGTCAGATCGTCATTCAGGTCAAAACGACCGTCATGTTCTAGATGTTCCGCTGAAGACCCCCTCCTACCCGGCCGGCATATCTCTGTTGGTTCGTATGCACAGGACCGACGATTTGATAGCAGGCTCAACCAGAAAATATACATTGAATCGGAGGATTTAACGCTTGTGATCGCCGGATTTTCAACCAAATTCTCTGGCTTAGTTCTATACTCTCTGTTATGTGTCCTGTCCCTTGGCTTCGCTTATCTCGTTTTCCGATGGTTTCCAAGATGGCGAGTACGATTGACAGGGAAACCCACGGCACTTCGCATTTGTCAATGGGTTGCCATTGAGGTGAGTAACCATTATTCCAGACGTTCCTCGCTCTACCTAAGACTTTACAGGACCAATGGAATCAATTTAGCGTATGCCAAGTTCGCAGTCAAGCTTATGGGCGTCCACTTTCTAGTGTATTTGCAGACCCAGACAGTCATTCCTTTGACGAAGAAAATGACCCCACTATCTCGTTCCTACGTTATATTGACTGTAGATACCTTCGGTTCTTCTACCATCCTCTGGAAGACAAGTTCTGCCTAATAAGCGGTTGGAAGGATCCTTTGTGGACAAATGCAAAAGTGATGCGAAGCGGACTTGATGCCGATGATCGTGATAGTCGAGAGCAGATTTTCGGCAAGAATCTTGTTGACATTCAGCAGAAACCGCTGTTTCAGCTTCTCATCGATGAAGTAAGTAATGATAACCCCGTCGCATTATATCGAAGGGAAACTCTTACCAGTACAGGCTTTTCATCCATTTTATATTTTCCAACTTGCGAGCCTTGTTCTTTGGTCTTTGGATGAGTATTACTACTATGCTATTTGTATATTCCTTATCTCTGTCTTCAGCATTGGTGCAACAATAATTGAGACCAAGTCTGTAAGTCACTACCTCTGTCTTGACAACACATGTAACTTCTTAACACTTTTCAGACTATGACTCGCCTGAGGGAGATCTCCTTATTTGAATGTGACATTCGTGTGCTTAGGAATGGTTTTTGTGAGTTTGTGTCTTCACAATTAATCTTCTATGACAATTTGTCGGTTAGTTGCTGACCTCTTACGCTAAGGGAGGTCTGTTCCCTCTCGAGAACTTGTTCCGGGTGATGTATTCGAGTTCTCCGATCCATCGCTTAGCCAAGTCCCTTGCGACTGCATATTATTGTCAGGTGACTGCATCGTAAATGAGAGCATGCTCACAGGTCTGTCCGTATATTATGTGCACGTTTTGATAGAAGCGCTGACAGGGCCAGGTGAATCCGTTCCCGTGTCCAAAACCCCGTTAACAGACGATGCACTTCAGTATCTCAACCTCAACACCCCGTCTGTTCATCCAAACATAGCAAAACATTTTCTTTTCGGTGGAACAAAAGTCATCCGGGCACGGCGCCCTCATAATGTTGATGATGACGATGCCATTGCCTTAGCAATTGTCGTCCGAACGGGATTTTTGACAACAAAAGGCGCGTTGGTTCGCTCCATGCTTTTCCCAAAGCCCTCTGGCTTCAAATTCTATCGAGATTCATTTCGTTACATATCTGTTATGGCAATGGTCGCTATTTTAGGATTTGTGGCCTCTTTTTTCAACTTTATCCGACTAGGTGTAAGCATCCAGAAACCATTCCAGAACAAGCTAACTTTACCTAGCTCTCCTGGCATTTGATCATTGTCAGAGCACTCGATTTAATAACAATCATTGTTCCACCTGCTTTGCCCGCTACACTCACAATTGGTACGAACTTTGCGCTTTCGCGATTGAAAAACCAAAAAATTTTTTGCATTAGCCCACAGAGGTGAGTATCATGTTTTGAATGCCCCTAGCTGCGCTAAGCTCGTCCCTAGGGTAAATGTTGGGGGTAAATTAGACGTGATCTGTTTTGATAAAACAGGAACCTTAACGGAGGATGGATTGGATGTTCTTGGGGTGCGGACTGTAAATCGAGAAATGGGGTTTGTCATACTCAGTCACTCGTACTTCAGCTATAGCTAACTATTATAAGGCTATCAGACTTACTCTCGGACGTGACTCTAGGGTCTCCGGCAGCTTCAACATTTGACACTTCTTACGACCGCAAGAAGCGTGATGTTTTGACCTACATCATGGCCACCTGCCACTCATTGAGAGTCGTGGACGGCGAGCTTCTAGGTGACCCTCTAGACGTGAAAATGTTCCAATTTACTGGCTGGTCTTACCAAGAAGGCGGCAGTCATGGTCCTGAACAGCCAGGTTCCAAATTTGAAACAATAATGCCTTCCATTGCAAGGCCACCTGCCCTTTCAGAGAATCTTCGCCGGAGAAATTTCACTGTAAGTGTACTTTTCCTGTACCAGATCGTACTTTTCGACTTGAGATGCATATAATCGTGAATACTTATATCAGAACGATGAAGGCACCACTTGAACTTGGTATTTTACGAAATTTTGAATTTGTCTCTGAACTTCGACGCGCGAGCGTTATTGTAAGGCAATTTGGTGACAATGGTGCTAGCATCTTCGTCAAGGGTGCACCAGAAAGCGTCAGAGCCATATGTCTTCCAGACAGTCGTCAGTACATCCAATGGGACACGAGCACAAAGCATGACGCTAACATTCATCTTAACTATATTAGTGCCTCGAGACTTTGAAGATCTATTAAGCCAGTACACCCATAAAGGCTATCGGGTCATTGCCTGCGCCGCTAGATACGAACAAAAGCTGAGCTGGATGAAAGTGCAAAAAATGACACGTGGAGATGCAGAAAGTGATCTGGAATTCATTGGCTTCATTATATTTGAAAACAAGCTGAAGTCAGCAAGTACTGAGACCGTTGCTGAACTGAACCAAGCAGGAATCCGGACCGTCATGTGCACAGGAGACAATATACTTACTGCAGTTAGTGTCGCTCGTGAGTGTGGCATGGTCAGCAAAAGTGAGCAATGCTTTATACCGCACATTGTAGAAGGTTAGTTAGTACTGCTTGCTCTGCTCTCCTGGGCTAACACCACGCAGGTCGTCCTCATGATTTGACAGCTTCACTTTGCTGGGAGAGTGTAGATAACCCAGCATTGAAGCTTGATCCAAACACACTGATGGTGCGACGTTCACTCTATTATATACGAAATGGAACTGACAAGCCATAGCCTTCCGTAAATTCAACGAATTTGGACTTGTCTATACCTGTAAATGTCTTCAATAAACACGATTTTTCGCTTGCGGTCAGCGGAGAAGTATTTAGATGGATTTTGGACTTTGGCGATGAGACTATACTTCAACGAGTATGTACATCTTTCGTTCGTCAAACATGACACTCTAAGTTGGGTTCCTTGCATAGACATCAGCTCACTTGAATCCAGATGCTCGTGCGTACCAAAGTGTTCGCTAGAATGTCACCTGATGAAAAACACGAACTTGTGGAGAAACTTCAGTCACTTGATTATTGCTGTGGCTTTTGTGGTGATGGCGCCAATGATTGTGGCGCGTTGAAAGCTGCAGATGTTGGGATATCGCTTTCTGATGCTGAAGCATCTGTGGCTGCTCCATTCACAAGTCGCCAATTTGATGTATCCTGCGTGCCAACTTTGATCAGGTATATTCGCCCTCTCAAATGAAGCAGCCGTTTCTGTTAACTAGTTCACAGGGAAGGAAGAGCCGCCTTAGTTACAAGCTTTTGTTGCTTCAAATATATGAGTCTCTACTCTGCTATTCAATTCTCCACTGTCAGTTTTCTGTACACGTCAGCATCAAACTTAGGTGATTTCCAAGTACGTATCAAAAGAATGGACCTGGTGTATCATAATTACTGACTTATTCTAGTTTTTGTTCATAGATTTGGTTCTCATATTGCCAATCGCAATTTTTAGTAAGTGACAAAGCTCGACCCGGACACCAGAAGAACGATATAAGGTGATTACAATAATCTTCGCGCTGACCTATCTTCCAAAGTGGGATGGACCGGTCCCTATCCCGTACTCTCCCGGAAACGCCCAACTGCTGATCTTGTCTCGCGAAAGGTACTGACGCCATTACTCGGCCAAATCGTGATTTGTATTCTGGTTCAACTTGTGGCCTACAAAGCCGTCCAGTCACAGCCATGGTATGTTTATATTTGCGGTAACCTCGAAGGGTACAAGTTGAGAAATCCATACTAACCCTAACTTACAGGTTCAAACCTCCCAAGATCGATTTGGATAATAGTAATATTGAGAACTCTGAGAACACCACCCTGTTCCTGATCTCGTGCTTTCAGTACACGCTAGCAAGTGTTGTTCTCAGCGTGGGACCTCCATTCCGGGAGCCTATGAGATCAAATAGTTAGTAACCGTTATTGCTATTTTAATCTGTCGCTAACAGTCAGCAGGAGCCTTCATCTCTGTCGTTGTGGTAGACCTGATCATCTCATGTTATATGCTCTTCAGGCCCTCTAGGTGGGTAGGGCAAATTATGCAGTTGACATTCCTATCAGGGAATTTTGCTATTTCGCTCCTTGCACTTGCCGTGAGCAGCTTCATTTTCTCTTGCATCGCGGAGCGTGCACTTTTCCCCAGTCTTGCTCGGGCCTTAGGGCGAGCCTACGTACTTTTACGGCCAGGCCACCACAAAAAGCGCCGTCAATACAAGGTGCTGCTGGAGGAAATGCAAGAGTAACTGGCCCAAAAAAACAAGTCATCACCATTTTGGTAGAGCGACAGAATTCTACTTCTAGAAAGCATACACCGCATCCGTTACGTCTCATAGCCCAACATCTTCATGAGTCGATTACTGCCGTAAATAGACTACTGCCAATTCGGCAATCCTGTAACACTAAGCAAGGAGAAATAGAGAAGTGATGTTTGCACACGCCCTTATTGTCTAGCTGGAAAATATAGCGAAGCGAGGACGGCTAATTGATTCACAGTGTCTAATGTAAATCCCACGAGCTTGTTCTGTGATTGATTTGGTTTTATCGTACTTAGTGCTCCCACGGATGCTTCCATCCCAATAAAGCAGGGCCATCCTTTTTGGCTCGGTACATTAGCTAGTTGCCAGCAACTATAGTTAGTGTCATTCATTGAAAGGAAATCTATGATTGGGCCCGTACAAAAAACCACATGCTAGCGCCTAAAGCCGTAGCTGTAAAGCGATAAAGAGGACGTGCTGGGTGAATATGAATGGGGTGATTCGCAGCCATGTCTGTATATAATGTAGTCAGTTCAGGTTTCATCAGTGAAAGGAAGTCATCTAGAGATACCTTCTTAGATCTTCTTTTCTTCCCAACGATATAACTTGAATTGGGCCGATGGGAATTAATATGGAGAAATAAGAGCAAAATCCATCAATGGCAGCGAGATCCATTAGCACGAGTTGCATTCAGACGCCGGGTTTATAAGTCACGTGAACACCACGTCTTTTCTGGTCTCGAGGGCGACATGCATTAAAGGTATTTATCGACCACGCCTCTACGAATACAACAATTACCATGACTGGATACGAGCCCTTATCACCCACTAAACACTAAAGTGTGAGGACTGTTATGGTTAGTGCTATCTAGCTATAGTTACCTCCGCTGCGCGGTTTGCCGATACGACATACCATACCTCTACCTCACCTACAGACCTCTATCCTACATTCCATCCCCGACCTAATGGTATTCAGTTTCCAACCCCCTGTGCATTGCGCATCACCCTAATAATACTGGTACGTCAAACTTACCACGAGTATATCCTCGGTTGACTGAGTTCTATCATCAGCAGTTGAACTTGGGCAAACCTCTTGGTACAGAACAATAGCCATTCGTTGGGGCGGGCCATTCGCCTTACTACAAGAAATAAGTATTGCTTGTCGCTATTAGGAGAAAATGGTGATAGCTTCTCTCGAACGGGATAACAATGGAAGCTCTCGATTTCGCGGATGCACTAGTATCCGTGAGTATGAGTTCCTTGGTAAACTTGGTGAAGGCACGTTTGGGTAGGTGCCCGCGTTCTGTAGGCAAGTCAATATATTGAAATTTTTGGTCAGTGAAGTCTACAAGGCGCGATCGAAAAGAGATGGCTCAACCGTCGCTCTAAAGAAGATCCTCATGCATAATGAGAAGGATGGGGTAAGATGGCTACCTGCTGAGCAGCAAGGCTGGGGGGCTAATACATCCTGATGAAGTTCCCTATTACTGCTCTTCGTGAAATCAAACTCTTGAAAATGCTATCCCACAGTAATATCCTCCAGCTCAGAGAAATGGCTGTGGAACGAAGCAAAGGTAGGAAGGACTCCACATTCTCCTTGAGGGAGGAGCTGACCATTGAGCCAGGGGAAGGCCGAAAGAAACCGAGCATGTACATGGTCACACCTTATATGGAACACGACCTGTCGGGGCTCTTAGAAAACCCAGCTGTGCAATTCAGTGAGCCTCAGATTAAATGCTACATGCTGCAGCTCCTCGAAGGACTCAAGTATCTGCATGGGGTACTACCATTTCCATAAAGCTTTTCCAGAATATGTGTCTAACTTGATGCAGAATCGAATATTGCATCGTGATATGAAAGGTCGGTTCCCATACAGCGCGATGAGGAACCTTGTAACTAACTCTCACACAGCGGCCAACCTACTTATCAGTAACAAAGGTATTCTTCAGATTGCCGATTTCGGGCTAGCTCGACCTTATGATGAACCTCCTCCCCTGCCTGGAAAAGGTGGAGGGGAGGCTAAAAGAGACTATACCACGTTAGTTGTGACACGATGGTACCGCCCTCCAGAACTCCTTCTTCAACTACGACGCTATACAACTGCCATCGATATGTGGGGTGTTGGGTAATTCTTTCAGTTTAAACCTCGTGATTTGCTTTCTGATGGTGACAGGTGCGTTTTCGGCGAAATGTTCAAGGGCAAGCCAATCCTTGCCGGCACTAGTGATCTTAACCAAGCCCAGCTTATATTTAACCTCGTGGGCACGCCTTCCGAAGAGAACATGCCTGGCTGGACCTCGCTCCCAGGCTGCGAAGGTGTGAAAAGCTTTGGCAGCAAGCCAGGAAATCTATCTGAGGTCTTCAAAGAGTACGGGCATCCATCGTCCTCAAGATCAAGCCTAACGGCGCCTTCATACAATTCTGTGGAAAAGGAGGTTGACACTTTGATAGGCAAGATCCAGCCGCCATATCCTTGTTAGGTGAGCTCTTGAAACTTGATTGGCGAAAAAGAATAAATGCCATCGATGCGTTGAAACACCCGTATTTCTCCAATCATCCCCTACCTGCGCACCCCGGTGAGCTTCCCCGTTTCGAGGACTCGCATGAGTTTGATAGAAGAAGATTCCGGGGGCAGCGAGCAGTTATGCCCCCAGCCCCTGCTGGAGGCTCCGTGGGCATGGGCCCTAATAGCGGCTGGAGCTCGAATTCCGGAAACCGAACCGGTGCGGATTCTAGAAATAGTCGCATACCCGGTGCTGCGCGTTTTGGGAAATCAAACTCTCATGGCAGTCAGGGGAATGCCCCCCGACGATCTTTTGATAGTCGGGGTAATGAACCACATCAGAGTCGGACGAACCAGGATGATTCACATCGGGCTCTTTCGTCATGGCAGAGGGAAGGAGGTCTGCCGCCTAAGCCTCCTCTGCCCTCTCACCAGGGATGGGTGCCAAGCTACCCCGGTCGGGTAGGACGCGACAGGAACCATTTGGGTCGTTTTGGCGGACGGCCAGACAGCAATGTGGATTCTTATGTTCCGACTTATAATGGCGTAGGGGAGCAGCCTCGAGATGCATATGTAAACAACAGGCGAGATTATACAAGGGAGAATCCTTCAAGGAGGCGCAGTCGAAGCCCAAGCTTTAGGGAAGGATCTCGGCCTGCAGACAGGGATCTATATCGAAGGTAGATTGATAGCCAATCGTATATTTTAGGACACAAGGAGCCTTATGCAATATGGTTGTGCTTCAATGTGCACCTATCAAGCCTTCTTTAAGGTGGCAAGTCTTGCAAACGCTATTGTGTCTGGGAAGTTGAAACGATTATTACATAGGTTTACTACAGCTTGCAGGGCTCTGTTACTACTTTGTGGATTTAGCACTTGGAGGATGAAAAAGCTGAAGGCAAGTTTGCCTGCTTCAATTAAAGGCAGGACTCAAGGTACTAAGAGAATAAAAAGGCGCAATAAGGCCGAAGTGTTGAACAAACATTCCTCCATAGGCATCAGTATCATGCGTCGAATGTGAGCAGCATACCTGATGTTTCCATTATCCGGACACCGCCTGACAAAATCAATAACCAAAAGATTTCAGTCACTCAATCAGTAACTAGCGCGGCACTAGCTTAAAAATCGATAACTTGCTTGTTTAGTAGATGGTAGACTTGGGCCGTTGAGGGATGGGTTCTACCGAAATTAAATCTACCAATAACTATACTTTGTGTGAGGCCTCTATACGCCGAGATGTCCTCAATATAATATCCGTGTCATAATCCGAGCTAAAGCAACTAGTTGTTAGCATTATGGCTGATTTAGAAGATAAGGGACTCGTACATGAAAGGCTTTCAAGCCTCTCGTAGAGATCTTTGATAGTAGCGTTATCAACATTGCTGATATCAGCCATTAGGTAGGCCACCTATACATAGTTAATGTTGAGATATTATCCAAGTATGGGTAGCTGATAACGTACGTCACCTCTGCTATCGGTCATTTGCTTATCGACGTTGTGGTCTCCGAGGATCTCGTTCACTAATATTATTAGTCCTGGTTTCTACACACACACACACACACACAAGCACATCACTTATAAAACGCACCTTTACGTAAGACGCCAGGAATATTTTGATGGATGTAGATCACCTGTAGTTATAGAATTAACGACGATTTCCACCGCATGAAACTGGTAATATACTGATAGTTGACGTACTCGAGCATGTTCCGGTTCATCCATGGTCAAGGAACGAAGGGCGACTTCAGGAAGGTTGACGGCACCTAATGTTGTGCCTTCATTGACATATCTCACTAAAGCGTCTCCCACCTCCACACCAATAGCACGCTGTGCTTCTTCAGTGCTACCTCCGATGTGAGGAGTAAGGATCACGTTCTTAAGGCTTCGAAGATCCGCTGCCCAGTTGTTAAGGTCGCTATTGAAGTAGTCGCCATTTCCAGCAGGTTCGTTCGGGTAGACATCAAGTGCAGCCCCGGCCACCTTGCCAGACCGCATCGCGTGGATCAATGCCGGGATGTCAACGACACTTCCTCGACTAGCATTAATCAAATAACTGCCATCCCGCATTTGTTCAAATTGGCGTTGTCCTATCATGTTTTTTGTTTCCGGAAGTTCCGGCACATGGCATGTGACGAAGTCTGACTGGGAAAGTAGACTCTCTAGAGTAGGAACCTGACGGGCAGTGCCCAGTGCCATCAGATTCACCACATCATAGTAAAGAACTGACATGCCCATGGCCTCCGCTAGAACCGATAGCTGGGAACCGATATGGCCGTAACCAATTATACCTATTCTCAAAAGTCAACCGAGTTTCCCTACCAAGGCGATATATATAATACATACCCAATGTCTTCCCACGTATCTCCCAGCACTTGTTACTTACTTTGTTCCAAGTGCCATTGTGCATCTCGTTAGACCGGTCACCGAGTTGCCGAGCTAGTGCAATAATCTCAGCAATAACCAACTCAGCAACGCTTCGAGAGTTGCTGAATGGAGAGTTGAATACCGCAATGCCGTGTTCTGCAGCGTATTGGAGGTCTACTTGGTTTGTTCCAATACAAAAACAACCGATGACTATAAGGTTCCGAGCCTCTTTCAGAATACGAGCTGTGAGCTTCGTCTTCGAACGTATACCGATGACGTGTACATCTCTTGAAGAACGGTTAGTGCACGATACCAAAGTATGGAACATCAATGCTGGCTTCGACTCACCGAATCTTTTCTATGAGCTGATCCTCAGGAAGTGACGACTTTAGAAATTCTACTTGATAGCCTTGCTTTGTAAGAATATCTCGCCCCGTTTGATTTACATTCTCCAAAAGAAGAACCTTTATATCTTCAGTAGCGAATGGCTTCAAATGCTTGGCATTGGGCAAAGGGATCGTGCGGCTGGTGAAAACAGAGTTTCCATGACTGGAAGGGGCGGACTGAAACGATGCGTTTGGTGAAAGGCTTGAGGCTTGATGACTGTTGATTTCTTGGGGGATGGCTGACATTGTGCCAAAATGGTCAAGACTTAAAATAAGTAAGGCAGATGGTATCAGGTGGTGAAGGAAGGGAATGTAGGAGAGAAGGGTAGTTGAGAGTATTGGATATGGAATGGGAGAAGTCGTTGTATTTCATATGTAAATTGGGAGACTCCGGGACCGGAGGCCCACAGTGAAATCCTACTGACACACTTTTCTCTTTAGCTCTTAACTCTTAAAATTTTCTTTCTTTCTGTTTTTTTTTTTTTTTTTTTCCATTGACTCATCGGAGATATGGGTGTAGTGGACCGCCAACATGGAGGGGTAAAAGGCGGGACCGACCTAAACCCCACTCTAAAATGAGCTGATCGATTAAATTTCTCTTCCACTCTTTGCAGCCCTTTCATGCACCAGCATAGGGGATAATCCTATTCTCATCTACTCAATACATACACTATGGAGAGGTATTACCCGTAATATTCGCTGCTATAGATTGAAATCATGTACAGTTAATTCTATTAAATTTTGACGCGAAAGAAACTCATACTGTCTGCCTTCTACAAATAGTCTACATGCTAACATGTTCTCGTCTCACAACACCATGCAATGAGATTTGCAATTGTCTCCATTGCTGTAGATATCATTCCAGATAGAGCAGTAACTTCTCAGAGTCTTTGGCACTCACACCCGTAAATCCTGTATCTTCTTTGTGGCTTCTTCCGCACCACTTGCTGCCTTAGAACTCTGCTTGCCCTTAGCTTTCTGGGAAGTGCTATCCTTCGGGAGTTCTTTGGTATAAGGGAGAAATTCTGGGGCGCCTGGGATGTATTTCCGAAGGGGCTCTGGCACAATAAATCCCTGTACTCTGTGTCAGCCATTTTTTCGAGAATTGAGTCAATATCAAAATAACACGTACATCCTCCTTTTGATAATTCTCAAGAATACAGCAAAGCGTCCGCTCAGTAGCACACAGCGTGGCATTCAAAGCATGAACATAAGACTTCTTAACATCTGTCGCTTTTTTAGTGCCATACCGAATTTCCAAAGCCCGAGCTTGATAATCTGTGCAGTTGGAGCAAGAAACAAGCTCCTTGTACTCTCCTTGAAATGGGAACCAGGCTTCGAGGTCATATTTCTTAGACGCAGCATTGTTTAGGGCCCCGGACACGATGGTAACTATCTGATAGGGAAGCCCAAGAGATTTGTAGAACTCTTCCGACGTAGCCATCATCTCCTCGAAAGCTTCCCATGATTGTTCCGGTTTAGTAAGGACGAATTGCTCGATCTATGCCTCAATGAGAAAAAGAACTTTAGCACGTGCTGTGATATTCCTTACTTTCTCAAACTGATGGACGCGGAAAATACCCCAAGCGTCTTTACCATGAGCTCCTGCTTCTTTGCGGTAGCATGTGCTATATCCAGCATACCTGTCTCTTGATTAGCTAAATTTTTAAAAATGTACTCGCCCCACTCACTTGATTGGAAGATCCTTGTCCTGGAGCCATTCACCATCATGCAAAGCTGACAACGGCTGTTCTGAAGTGGCGATGAGGTATTTGTCTGTAGATTTGTCCTCACTTTCTGTTACTTTATACAATTCCTCGTCAAATTGCTCAAGCTGGGCTGTTTTTGCCATCATGTCCTTCAGCATGAATTGAGGTGGCTGGTTCGGCTTGTAACCCTTTCCCCAAAGGAATTCCAAGCCGTAGTTGATCAGCGCAAGATTTAAGAAAAGTCCATACCCAGTCAAGCAGTATCCACGGTGGCCGACAATCTTGACACCACGTTCGGGGTCGTAGCCGTCAAGGCGAGTGAGAACTTCATGATGAGAAAGGCAATCGCGCTTCTCGACAGTGACATTCTCGGGCACCCATGTCTTAACCACTACATTATCGTCCTGATTGGCGCATGTCAGTTCCTTTCCCAAACGAAACTTTGGTGGGTGATAGACACCTACTTCGTTATTGCTCACAGGGACCGAATCATGCACATAATTACCAATTGTTCGGAGTTTGCTGTCTCTTTGCTTTTCCTTTTGAAGAGCAAGGTCTTCGGCTTCTTTCTTGCGTTGTTCAAGCGCAGCTTTCTCTTCCAGAAGGGAACTTGCATCTTCCTTGTTCTGTTTGGGGGGTAAATATTAGTATGAATTTGATAGCAGCAGAAGGTTTGGAAAAAGAACTAAAATACTTGTAGCCATGGGTGAGACAGAACCTTTTTTTTCTTCCCAATTTCTTTTTGAAGTCCATTGATCTGGGAGCCTATCTGCATGACTTCGTACCGTGCTGCAGCGTGTTTCAGAGTCTGCTAACCTTCTTCGGTGAAGCAATGAAATCTTCGAAAAACGTACCTCGGCGGGCTTCTTCATATAGTGTAAGAACTTCATCGACGACATTTTCTGGAGCAAATCGTTTCCGTTGACTCTCCTTGACCTTGTTTGGGTTCCCACCGCGGTCACTGACGAAGTCAGCGATATCGAGCATCTTGTAGGAACTGAAGGCGTAAGTCTAAAAGAATGGTCGGGTGACTGGCCCTAGCAGGTTAGGCTCTCAGATTCGGCAATGTAGAGTGAAGTTGAACAGAAGCCCCAGAGGTCCTAGTCTTGGTCACGGTCAATGTGAGGGGTAAAATCTTGGGTGGCCTTGAGCCATTAGGGCATAAACTATGCATGGAAGTAATTTAACTCTCATGAGGGGCAGTGGCTTAATCAGCAGAATTGACTAAATTACTAGTGCGTACTCCGGAGTAGGACCCCTAGGCCTGGTCTGGTATAGTCCGCCATTGAGACATACTTTAAGAGTTGGTCAGAGAAACTCGCCGTTTAAGCTAAGCACCCAGCAGATTTTCACTTTTGATACCTCGCCCAGTTCTCCAGTTATATGCAACCCCCATCACAAGTTATTAGTGGATATGGAGGTTTGTAAAGCCCTCAGTAGCAGTTGCATGCGAAAAGCAGAGATCCCCGGGCCTGCACAGTGTCTTTCCATATAAAGCGTAATTGTTTCTGAAAATACTTCTATTTAGTGTCTCCGCTGCCCATCTTCTATTTGAGTGGAATGCCAATTTCAGTGCAAACTAGAATAAAAATCTCATTGGTCTAAGGTTTAGGTATCTTGCTTGCCGTGATATGGAACCTGTTAGTTCCTGGGGTGGGTCGGTTCTACCATCCCTATTCTTCGCTCTGCAAGCAACTCCTGTTGCTACGTAAAACGGCAAGCCGAGAAGTTCCTTCCCCCGGGATTGGGGGGAAGCGGGTGAATCTTCCGATAGGTCTTTTATAAGGAATCATATAGCAAGTACATGCCGACTTCATCCGTAACAATCTCGAGCCCGTACTTATATATTCTATTAGTCGCCATATACTTAGCTTGAAACATCCATTATCTCCAAAGACATGGCTATTAAAAGAGACAATGAGATTGAGAAACGCCACAAAAGTAATAGAAGATGGGATAGAGAAAGTGGTTGTATAAGAAAACGAATAGGGAAGCGTCGGGGTGGAAAGAAGAGCAAAGGTTGAAAACAAAACAAACTTCAAGCTGTGTACTCCTCAGGGAGCTTAGAAAACAATCATCTTCATCACACCATTGCAAAGCATTCCGCCCGCGAGCATATAGTGAACACATGAGATTTTCCTTCGTTGTCTTGCAGCAACCGGCAGTCAGCGGAAGCAATTTGGGTTCTGTGCTTATTCACGTTGCTTCAGTTTCCATATCACATTACAACACACTTATTTCCTCCTGTGGGCTGCGACGGATTCTGAGACTTCTCGATCTCCCCTATCATTAAATCGAAGGCTTTCTCGACATTGTAACCAAGACGGGCGCTAGCCTCGGTAAAGGCACAATGGAAGTCTTCTCCTAAGCCCCGGCCTTCGTCCAATGATACTTGACGTTGTTCGGATTTCAAATCACTTTTGTTTCCCACGACCACAAGGGGCACATAATCGGCTCCCTATCGTCTGATCTCAGTTTCTAAAGTAAACAAATGGATCGGCGTCGGCCGCCCAGAACTCACAAGGTGATTTAGTATCTTGTCTCGAATGACCCTCACCATATCGAAAGACTGGCGAGAAGCCACGGAGTAGACAATGATATACCCATGAATCCCAATGAAATGCTTAGAGTTCAAGATACTGTACTCATCCTGATCAAGCATTAGCTTCTAGAAGAACACTTCGCTACCATTAAACCTTACTTGACCAGCTGTGTCAACAATCTCCGTTGCAAAATCTTGGCCGTTGTACTTGATGATTCGACTAAACGTGTTCTCGATAGTCGGATAATAACTTTCTACAAAATGATGCTCAACAAATCGAACTGTAAGGGAAGATTTACCTATAGGCTCTGTCAGTGACCAAGACTCCGCACAGATAACAGCTAGTTCAGCACAAAAGTGGAGGTCCTCGTCGTATACATACCCACAGACCGACTACCAACGATAGCTATCTTTCGCTGTTTTGGTGCAGTAGGCATTTCCACAGATTGTAATAATCTGCGGAACGATAATCCGCTAGGATAATATAATTCGCTATTAGAAGAAATATATATCCCACTACCAAGGATTGCGTGTCTCTATAGCCGCGGCGAAAGGGGTGTCAGAACCAGGTCTCAACCAGTAACACGAAAGCACCGATAGCAGAGAGCTCGCCGAAATAGAACTTGAGTGGAAACCAAAACAATTGTACTCGGGTTAGAGGCAGCGTTTGATGATGAACAATGGAGTTGTCGTGCGGGTGGCAAATCAGTTAAAGTATGACTATCCGAACTGACTGGATACCTGAGGTAGTAGTAGTTCCAGCCATTGAAAACGCAAACAAGTCAAACGGTTAAGATTTTATTATGTCATACCTCATATCTACATAGTATGGCTAGTTAGTACTCTCTTTAGCTATATAACCTAGGTAAGTAGTAATCAAACACCTCAAGTACCAATTATCATGTCCAACTTGGTCGTCAATTTGAAAATTCGTCTCTAAACTAGTTTTACATCAATTTATTTCCCTTGCATGACTAGCTAGCTATTGTTAAGTATAGGTAAAGAGATTTTCAATTGCATTGCCAGACGGCCTAAAAGAGACATAATCCAAGACGGGGACGAGAGTAGATGAACTGCTAATAGAAAATGTAGCTATACTTTAATAGCGTGACATTCTGCAAACTTTGCCTGGATCATTGTCGTTCCTCCTCTCGTATCTGGTGAATAATTCGCTCTAATCTTGGGGTAAGTTCGGCTCCATCTCCGTGTCGTGTCTCGATCAATCGCGAGTCTTTCTCAACCTTTCGATAATATCGTAGGAATTCCTCGGCCGTGGATAGTGCCGCTGCAAGTCCTTTGCCGTCGAGAGAAACTTTGACCTGGGCCAATGCCATGTGATTCAAACAAAGTGTAACTAGAAGAATTGACAAGTAACCGATAGCAACATTGTACTGCACTTCGGGAACGGAGTGTGCCTAAATTCTGCATTAGGCACTAAAAGTGAATGTTCATAGTACTGCCTTACCTGGGGCACAGAACCGATGCTAGTAGAAAATTGTTGTAAGAGCAAACCCAGGGGAGACTCAGAATTACTTGTCGACTCCAGAAAAATAGCTCTCGATGATTCACTTTTCTCTGCAAGATTAATAAGAGCACCCAAAGCTAATATTACTGCATCCAGTGAGCTATTTTCTTTACCGATGGTTTCTTCAGGCACAGCGCAGAATTCCGAAATTATGACCTTGACAAGTCCGCCAACAATTTCAGTTCTGCTGCACTCCTCGCAAAAAGATGAGTCCCTGTTGGTAAGGTTTAATAGTACTCGAATATATAGAAACAGAATCCGCCGGCTTTGGTCACACTGGTTGGGATAGAGAAATTTATAACACTGAGTAAGTGACCGTAAGGAGATGCAGCAGTCGGGATCCAATGGGCCCGATAGGATTGTGTAAGTTTCCAGAATCGACAAAGCCAGGACGAGCGTCTGATAACATTCAAAGCGCAGAGGAAACTCTGCATTTTCACCGGCCTTGGGTGATAACAACTTAATAATGAGCGTTAAAAGGGGTGCAGGAATATTAACATTGGTGCCCTTCTCTTGATATACAGTTAGAGAAGATTGAAGATTCATAAGAATCAGCAAACGCGGTGAAATAGTTGAGATCGGCTGTTCTCCATATATCGCAAGGGATAACCGTGGTAGAAGACTCTTCAGGGTTGCTTGGACAGCTTTTGATAGGCCGATAGATCGCTGTTTCGCGGTAACTGATATATCTTCTTGGACGTCAAGTAAAGTGGGTGATTTATCCAAAAGTTTGGACCAAATAGATGTTGGAAGTGTAGACGAGAAACAGCCGCTGATACATATCAATCTATAAGCGCATAGAGCAAGGGTGATTGAAACTATATCAAAGCCACCACCTGTCATGCATTTCACCAGTCGTTCGTCAAACCCGGCTTCAGAGAAACGGTCCAAAACTCGAGGCTCCATAAGTTTGGTACACAGTTGAACAAAACCATTGCACACGTCCGAAGCGGAACTGTGAGGGTCCTCGATATCTTCGAAAATCAAATCTACTGTTTCCCAAAAGCGTGCATTGTCTCCAGCCTGTCTTAGCTCGTGAATGCTTCGAACCGGCCTGTTGTCGAGGCTTTCCTCGTCTTCAACATGCGAGTAGGTTTGAGATAGGAGTCCTGAAATTGGCCGTGGTTGCCTAAGGCTATGACATCTCGAGGAAACTAATAGGCCAGGCTCTTCAGTATGGCCCAAGACAGAAGCATCATTTAGGAAGGAACGCTGGTGTGCATAAGTAACCCTAGACCTTCCAGATATCGAGGGTCTGGAATTAGTCAACTGTTGGATATTCTCTGTACCAGGAACCTTAGACCGATGTATATGCGCGGTACGCTGTCGATCGTTTCCTTTCCAGATATGGCTAGAGGACGTCTGGCTGTCGGGCTGACATTCACCATCTGACAGGCAGTCTAGTGACACCTCTTCTGTTGAGTTTAATGAATCAACTAATCTCTTTCGGAGACTTGGTTGTTTCGTTCGGTATCTGGTTGTATCCATGCCGCTGAGATATAATGTAGAAAGCCTGTCGGTCTTGAGAGAGAACTTTCTATCCCCAGGCGATTGAAGCATATAGGTCATTTCTGTAGAAGTCTGTTCAATTTTTTCGGGCTCAGCCTGAGTTCCCTTTGGAAGGCTACAACCATCACTTTGGTCTTGAGCTTTGTCCATATAGAGGGCCTCGTTGGCACTGACACAATCAGAACCTCCGGTTTCACCAAACATCGTGGAACTTTCATGCGCAAATACCGGCCCAATTTGATTACCAGCACTCACACTATGCTCCTGGATTTGCTGCGCCTTTTCCCCAAGGAGCTTTCTGCGCTTTGTTCCGGTGACATCATAGGCTTTCTCATGGCTATTCTGGGAACCTGATATTTGCGTGTCAGGAATATGATCAAGTGAGTCAACGCCATAGAGTTGCTTAAAATCATTCCCAGATGATCGAGTCAAGGTACTTGAACAGGGACAAGTGTTTGAGCCTTCAGCCTCACTAGAGATGATGGAAGTCGTTGAAGTCTCATTTACCCTGTTCTTGAAATTGTGAGACTTAGGTGAACTTGGTTTACCGTAAGTCACAAGTCTCTTAGTTTTCTCGCGCATGTTTCAAACACCACTTGTATAGGCAAGGCCGGTATGTATAAGGCTCTCGTGTGAATTGTTAAAGAAGGAAAACAGGTTCGGGCGGCTTGCGAGAACACAGTGTATGAGCAGTAGGAATGTTGGCGCCGAGTTGCTAGAAGGTTTCAATTACGATATGCAAAAATAGATGGAGTTATTGAAATGAGCTTTTAAAGGAACTACTACACATTCGTGGATGTGGGTGCTCCATGGAGGTGTAGGTAGTAATAAATTGGTAGGGTTGTGAACCAGTGACCAAGGTTGCAACCAACGAAACAGTTATAAAAGAACTCCACAGCCTGATTTGATATTTAGTTGAACTCTCTAAGTGTAAGTATGGTGGTGATACAATATCAACTGTATATCCAGATCTCGTGCATTATAGCTGGTTTTTAAGGTAACGTTGGTATAAATCAAATTTGCCGAAGTTCTCCAGACTGACTCGCTTCCTTCAAGAGCGGGGAGCGCGGAATCGCGGACGACACAACATTGAGTATAAATTAACTGGGCTAGGTCTTATGCTAAATTATATTCTAATAACTAGTCTTGTTGTTACCTTAGTAGAGTCACCAATCTAGGCCGCCATAACTATGTTTCTTTTGCTGGTTTTATGTAGAGTATTTCGTAGTCCAATTAGAAAACCACCCTGCCCGCCATCATTAGTCCAAGCTACTATCGTACTTATGCACTATCTGCGCCTGCTTGATCTCTCTCTTTTCCTTGCTACAACATCATTACATAGTACTTCCACGCGAGTTTAGTAGACCCTCAGTGGGACCACTAACCTTTTTTTTTTTCCGCCCTTCGCACCTCCATCCATCTATTAAGAACTATACCAAAGTTTTCATTGGCCATGTCTGATGAACGATTGGAAACGATCCCTTCTCCTGCCCAAGGAGTTGGCCCAATTTACAGACCCGATGGCGAGAAGCCAACAGCGACAGTGTCGAAAGACATGCCTTATGAAAATGTCCATGTCTTGCCTCAAACACCCCAGCTGATCGCTCTTCTGACGTAAGTCATACGTCTATAGAGATTTCTTAAGTCAACATCGGATGCCCAGACTGACAACTCCATAGTATGATCAGGGATAAAAGAACTGGGCGTGCCGATTTCATATTCTATTCCAACAGAATCATCCGTTTATTGGTGGAAGAGGGTCTAAACCACCTTCCAGTGGTTGAGCAAGCGGTGACAACTCCTGTAGGCCGTACCTATCTCGGTGTCAAATTCGAAGGCAAAATATGCGGCGTATCTATCATGAGAGCAGGCGAAGCAATGGAGCAGGGCTTGAGAGATTGCTGTCGATCAGTTCGCATTGGGAAAATACTTATACAGAGAGATGAGGAAACATGCAAGCCGAAGCTTTTTTACGAGAAGCTTCCTGCTGATATCTCCAGTCGATGGGTTTTACTCCTTGATCCAATGTTTGCAACTGGTGAGTCAAAACCCTTCATAGACTATAGAGTGATATTAATTGCTATCGGTTCAGGGGGTTCGGCGACTCTCGCTGTCGAAATTCTCAAGGCGAAGGGTGTACCAGAAGACCGTATCCTATTCCTCAACCTTATCGCAAGCCCTTCAGGAGTCGCAGACTTTGCGGAACGCTTCCCTAAGCTCAGGGTCGTAACTGCTTTTATTGACCAAGGCTTGGATGAGAAAAAGTTGATCCACTTCTATTCGCCCTTTTTCCGGATTACCTCGCTAACTGGTTGCTACAACACAGGTACATTATCCCTGGACTTGGTGATTTTGGTGATCGATACTATACACTGTGACGCCAATCACGGAATGAGGTCTAGTCTAGCATTGCTTATGAAGCATTACAAGTTTCCTCGAAATTGTTTTGACGCGTATAGGAATAATTACAGTACAGTGTAGTCGTATTGCGCATATTACTTCAAATCCATAGCTTGAGTTATTGATTTATGAGGCATGGGTAACCACAAGATTTATACCATAATAATATCATTGCAGGCATCCATTATCCCTAGCATCGAAGCCAGCTAATTGCCAAAAAAAGTATCGAATAAGCCAGTCCGCAAAGGCAGAACAGCGGTCATAACTTGGAAACAGCGACCACAGGAAAGCTACTGGGCCTTTATATTGTACGCCAACATCCCATAACTGAAAATTACTTGTATCAATCGTCATCCACTTATGCACCTGCACGATCTTCATCGTATTCAGCATCTTGCCCACTAGAAGACACAGTATACTCATTTGATCGCAGACCAGCGGTCTTATTATCTTCGTATCTGTTGGCAGTATCCTTGGCAACTGCATCACAAGCATCTACCCAATCCGAATATACATCGACAGCAGCAGAAAGATCTAGTGCATGAATTTGTCAGAAATGGTACTGAGATTAGTACGTTTATAAACTCACAATTAATACCGGTTTGAAACCTCTGCCCACACACCTTACAGGACAAATTTCCCAGCCCCAGCTTCTTGTCTAGTTTCACCACAATAGAATTCTCGTGGTTACAGAAAAGACATGCGAAAGATGTGGGCAATGGTTCTCTCTGACTCCAATATTAGTCTCAATAATCATCACCCGTTCCAGGGCTACTCACCTTCTTTGGTCCTTGTGGTTGTCTGCTTGACTTCTTCCGCTTGCCCTGTCACCGAATAAAGACTCAGTCATTGGACCATGATATTTCTTTCTCTTTTGTTTCCTTCTCTACATGTCCCAGGGGCACACATCAGAGGGGCAGCCTACCATGCTTCTTTCGAACGCTCGTGGGTGCTTAAGAGCTGGTATTCAGTGTAGGACAACTAAGATATCCATATCTGATTAGTTGCAGCCTGTGTAGGTTTATTTATGTACTTACTAGTTGTCTAGCCGGTATCAATGCGTATCCCCACAAAAACAGGGGGCAGTAGATTAGATACTGTAGCTTAAAGACCTGGGGTGATACTCTGTACAGGATTATAACACAGATAAGGAAATGAAGACCATGGATGTTATGGGGACTTTCAGCACTCCGCCCCTGTAATGCCGATTACATCACTCGCGTCCACATTAGAACAATGGGACGGCTATAACAGTGTACTAGTAGGTAAAGGGCATCTACACCTAAGTTCCCATGCAGCTCTAAATTATTAATAAGCCAGGGGCTTCCTCCGTAGTCAACATACCTGTACTTAGCAGTTGATACGTGCTGATAGAGGAAGGCATGTGTAGGAATACGACTAGATACTTCACCCCACAAATCAGTCAAAAACTCATATCAACCTGCAACCGCCGTCCCGAATAAAGTTCCATTGTCGTACGCTTAATAAGAGATTTGCGATAATTCGAAAGGGTCTACCATTACAATAGCTTTACTTCCTAGAAATAGGAAAAGGCGAAGGCTATGCATAGAGGACATTATAACCTTGTTCTCCCCGTAGCACATACTTATTATATCCAAGATACGGAGTATAAGATACAAAGACGTATGCTCACGTGACTTGTGTAATGAAACATCCAATCATACTGTCTGAAAGGCCCATTTGTGGGGGGATAATATTATATAATCTTGGATAGGGCCGGCGCTCTCGCTTAGCCAACTTTTCTGTGGGATTTTGATTTCAACTCTTATTCCGCCGACCAGCAGCGTCAATCCCATCGACTCCCTCCACCAGACCGCGTGGTGTGATATATTTGTCTGTCTTCGACCACTGCAAGATAGACCTGAGTCGCAGCTATGGCTGTTGGAAAGTATGCCAAATCTCACGTCGACATCATAATGCGGGACAACGACCTTGGTTGCTAATGTCTTCCAGGAACAAGCGCTTGTCCAAGGGCAAGAAGGGTATCAAGAAGAGGACCGTTGATCCTTTCTCCAGGAAGGATGAGTACTCTGTGAAGGTAGTTACAATTGGTGTAGTTCCGCGAACGTTGCTAATAGTGTTCAGGCACCCTCCACTTTCCAGATCAGAGAGTATGTTCTTTCTATATAAATTCCAACCCCTGCCTGAGAGAAGAACCGAGACCATATGTATCGGCGAACGACTGACAAGAAGCTCTAAAGTGTGGGAAAGACTCTGGTGAACCGCACCAGTGGTCTCAAAAATGCAAACGACTCGCTCAAGGGCCGGATTTTCGAGGTTTCCCTTGCCGACTTGCAGAACGACGAAGACCACGCTTTCCGTAAGGTTAAGCTTCGTGTAGACGAGATCCAAGGAAAGAACTGTTTGACCAACTTCCACGGCCTCGACTTCACTACTGATAAACTGCGATCCCTGGTCCGTAAGTGGCAGTCGCTCATCGAAGCCAACGTCACCGTGAAGACGACCGACGACTACCTCCTTCGTCTGTTTGCCATCGCTTTCACCAAGAGGCGTCCCAACCAGATCAAGAAGACCACATACGCCCGCTCCTCTCAGATCCGCGCCATTCGCAAGAAGATGACCGAGATCATGCAGCGGGAGGCCGCCAGCTGCACTCTCTCTCAACTCACCACGAAGCTTATCCCTGAGGTTATTGGCCGCGAGATCGAGAAGGCGACGCAAGGAATCTATCCTCTTCAGAATGTTTGTGGTGTCTCCTATCCTCCGGTTTGAATCGGAAACTAAGATGCTCCCAGGTCCACATCCGCAAGGTTAAGCTTCTCAAGGCCCCTAAGTTTGATCTGGGCGCTTTGCTGAACCTACATGGCGAATCTACCACCGACGACAAGGGTCACAAGGTTGAGAGGGAGTTCAAGGAGCAGGTTCTTGAGAGCGTCTAGATCTTCCGTTGATCACTCTGGAAGTAAATGCAAAATCCTCTCTAGAATCAAAACTGTCACTGCCTCTGGATCGAAGATAGAAGGAGGAGGGGGAATATTCCAACTTTGTCTCCGATCAACGACAACGAAGGTCGTTCATGTGTAAGGTAGGCGGCGTCGGTAATTCAAAAAGACTATGAATTGATTTCGTTATGTGAATGCAAACAAATAAAACCGGCCCAGCTGTTGCATATTTCACTTGACCTAGCTGTCAAATGCTGTAGTTTGATAGTATGTGTGCTACTCTATGTGTGTACCCCCTTACAGGGAAGTTGTCTTGCCATTTAATGTGGTCTTTGTCAAGGCATATTCAACTGGTCACTGCCATTATCTATGGCCTACTCATTGAGTTTGATATCTTTAGGTGGCTAGTTGTAACAGACATCTTAAATACACTTCACTTATAGTATTTATTGTTGTTTGGCTTTATCCTTTAGGCTAGTGAGCTTTGAATAGTTGGAGAGCTTGTAATAAACTAACAGGCGGATGTAGGGATGCTGAATATTGATTCAACCAGCTGTAGGACCTACTTACTATTGGGCTGTCATTGGTTAATACATGGGTGGGTTGAAAATCTGTCTTGAGGACTGAAATTTAAGTGGTTTGGGTTATAGTTATGGTACCTGGTGTAACAGACTCATGGTGCGATGCCGGACTGCTGTTCTGCCAGTGTGGGACTGAATAGGTTGTGTGGATTGTGTTAGATTGGCTGAGTGATTACTATATATTATATACATAGATATAACTAAGCAATGGATAACTAATACTAGACTCTTCTATACTTAAGACTTTATCTAAGTAGAACTAGTTAGTAATTTTTCTGAATAAAACTAATATACTTTTATTTTCTACATAAAATTTTTACTTTAGTGTTATACTATAAGTTGATTGTTTACTAAGTACTATAAGGGCGCGGATATATTGTATAGGCGGCTATATATGGCAGAATAGATAAATCTCCTAGAGTATGTGATATTGATTCTGTCTTTCGATAAAATCAGTGCTATTATAGTTAATAGAACTGTAAAAAATTTTATTTATAATATTTATAAAAGTTTTTTTTTTTTTTTAATATTTATATACTCAAAATTTCTCTACAATAAATTTTTTTAAAAAGATTAAAAAATGATTATAACTATAATAATTAATCTTATAATTTTAAATTATTAATTTAATTATATAAAATTAGTAAGAATCTCTATTATAATAAAATTCTAAAGCATTAAAATAAAATATAAAGTCTTTGTAAGGAACACACAGTGACCTTAGGCTATCTAGTGCGCTACTTAGTAGGTTCTAGGGTCCGTGTAGCGCTTACTGTTGTGCCTTTTGCACTGCAAGAGTAAATGTAAAGGAAGTTGTTTTTGTTCATATAGGTCCTTAGCAACCGATAACCAGTTGCCGCACCGCTCTATCTACTACTTTCTAACAGAATATATAAAAGCTATTATAATTCCCCTAATCTTTTAAGAACTGTATCTATATAGCTTAATTAATTAACTAAGTAATAAACTCTTATAGTAATTTAGTAAATAATAAAAATATATTTTAAATAAAGATAAATATATTTCTAAGTAATAGATAGATATATATTAAATATAGAGTATAATAAATAATAAAGGTATAAGAAAAAGTATAGTATAGAAAAAAATTAATAACTATCTAGTAAATATTATAAAAGTAAAGAGTAAGTATAAAAAAAAGTTAATATTATAATAACTATATATTAAATATCTTAAAAGAGTTCTTATTCAGTAAAATATTTTCTAAGAGAATCAATTTTTTATTATTTAATAAATAATTTAGTATTGACTTTTTCTAATTACTATTTAAATTTAGTAATTTTCTTATTTTAATTCTTAAGCTACTCAGTATTTATTTTCTTTAGTTATTATCTAAGTATAATAGTTTTTTTATTCTATTTATTTCTAAAACTATTAAATACTTCTTTAATTTTTTTCTATAGTCTTTTATAAAGCCCTTTAAATTTTCTTATAGATAAAGATATATATAACTATTCTTCTATATTAAGTTAATTATTCGGGCTCGATAGAATAATAACTTACTTTATTATATTAAGCTAATAGTTAATAAATAGATTGACTAGTAGTATAGTATTAGTTAAGTTAATTATCTTAATTACTTCTTCAGTATTTAAAGATTAAGATTAATAGATATCTTTTTAAATTACTAATTATTAATTTTTTATATACTATAAGTCTTTTTTCTAATATATACTAGTCTCTGTGATACTTATAACTCCCGGTATAAATAGAATATATATAGAGAATTATATAAAGTTAATAAGTAATAGTTTTCTATATAGTAAATTAAATTATTATATTTTATTATTTTTTTTAATTTATATAATTTCTATTTAAAATCTATTTAATAATTCTGATTTAGAATAGATATTAATAAGTTAAAATATAGTTTTTATATTCTCTTTATCTATTAGAATATAATAGCTTTTATATATTAATATCTAAAACTATTTATTAATTAATACTATTACCGGTAAATTAATTAATATTCTTATTTTATAAATATTTCTATTTAATTTAAAATTTACTTGCTATCTAGTTACTCTTTTCTTAGTATTATAGTAAAGAATAGCTAATATAATTTAAATATTAGATAATTTTATATTTCTCGGTAATTAGTTATATACTTTAGAGTTAAATATTTAGAATTATTTTTTATTTAGTAATAGTTTTTTAGTCTATTTAATTATAATTAAGTATTTTTAGATCGTTTTCTTTATTATTATCTTATTTCTAAAATTTGTATAGCTTATTATTCTACCGGATTACTATATAGCTCTAGATCCTATTTCCAAGTACTCTAATCTATTTAAGAATACCAGAAGTTAAAAAATAAGTAGAGATTATTTATAAAAAGAAAATAGTTATTATATTTAAAAAGAAATTTAATAAATAGAAAAGAAAATACTAATAGTAAAGTAATTAAAAAAATAGTCAATGAAAAAAAAATTTAAAAAAATTAAAAAATTAAAAATAAAAAATTAAGATAGTTAATTAAAGAGAAATAAATTAAAGTAAGAGATAATAATATAAAGTAAAAAATTATAATTTACTTTATTTCTATTTATTTACTTTATTTTTATACTCTTAGATTGTTTTCTCTATTTTTTCTAGATTTTTTAATAGTTCTTAAGTATTATATTTAAATAGTTATCTAGTCTAGTAAACTAAGTATCTTATTAATAATTTCTTTTCTTAAGTAATCTATTTATTAAGAATATATTCTATTTTATATTAATTTATCTTGTCTAGAAACTGTTTTTCTATAATTAATAGAGATTTTAAGAGTATTTTCTTAAATAGATTTTTTAAGTTAGCCTTCTCTAAATAGATTACTGGGATAATAGAGTATATTTTTTATATATTAAATAAGTTAAGTTTGTAAGTAAATTTTCTAACTTTATAGAGTATTTTGAATAGATTTACTAATTAATAATTAAATTTTCTACTAATTTTTTTATTTATTAATAGATTATATTTTTAGTATAGTTTTAAGAATATTTTATTTTCTAGTTTAAATTTAATAGATCTATAGTTTTAATTATAATATTATGTTAT